TGGTCTCTGGGGAAGCATATGCGTGCTGGGGCTCTAAGATCCCATCCATCAGTGTGTTCCCGGATACTTCCTGTGGGCCACTTGTCTTGTCTTGTCTTCTCTTGTTTTCTTTCTTTATTTCTTTTCTTTTTTGAGACAGGGTGTTATATGTAGTCCAGGCTGGCCTTGAACTCAAAGTGATCCTCCTGCTTCAGCCTCAGCCTCAGCCTCCTGTGCTGGAATTGCAGGCATGTGTCACCATGCCTGGCTTCTGGGTGTTATTTTTGCAAAGCTTTAATACAGCAAATGTTACCTAAGTGTTGTATTTCCTTTGAACGTTTTGATCCAAAATAGAGTCCTAGAATCTTGGGGAAGCCTTGATATTAGGGCATCCTTACATAGTCCAGCTACCCCACTGTCTTTACAGTGTCCGAGTTCCAGCCAATGCCTTCACAGAGGTCTTGGCAGAGATCTCCCTCCGTCAGAGGCTCACTGTCCCTCCCCCCCCCCCCCCCCCCCGGCCACAACAAGTCCTGGCTGGGACCAGAGCTGAAGCCCTTCCTGGCTTTGCACTCACTTTGCACTCACAGCCTGAGGCCGGCTGAGCACTTGGAACCCTTGGAAACAAGCTGTAGCCATCAGGTGTTGAGGGTGGCTGTGCGTCTCACTAGCAGGCTGAAACCTGTAGCTTTCCCTTTGCCAAGAGGTTGCTGAGAGCAGAGAAGCCCAAGGAAAATGGCAGTGCGTCTCAGTAATGACAGACACTTTAAATTTGTATCTAAGGTCTTTACCTAGGGTCATTCTCCAGATGGGAACATTGATCTCGAGAATAGTGGTGTCTGGTGTTTATCCAGAAAGCCACAGCCAGTGCCAGCTTGGCTGAACACTGTGTTTTCCTTTGCCCCCTTTCCACGTTATGGTTTGCCGATTCTTCTGTACTCCCGGGCTTTACAGCTTTGCGTGCTCAAGGCTGATGCAAGGAGCTGCAGCTGTCAGAAGCTTTCGCTCTGTCGGCAGGTTTTGGGACTCAACCACTGCCAAGACAGCTTCAGCAGGTTAATTAGTGTCCTTGGTAAAGTCACAGCATTGAGAAGCAGTGCAAAATGGCGGTGGCGAACTGGGTTGAAAGCCAGGCTGCGGGGTTTGAACCCCCCTCTGGTGATCGTTGGCTGCTGATCTCGGGCCAGCTGGGAAATTTGGGTGCCTAGGTCTCTCCTTGGAGTTGTATGAAGACTCAGGGCGTGCCAGGCCCAGTGCCGTTCCTACACAGTGGCGACCAAGGGCCTTCTCTTGACGTGCGTGAGCCAGGGGGTGTCCTCTGTGTTGTCCTGCCAGTGTGGTAGTTAGGGGTGTGGCCTCACGGGGGGGGGGGGGGATGGCGGTTGATGTGTCCAGAGAGAGATTACGGCTCTTGACAGAGGCTCCTGGAACTCCTGATACCCTCCATTGCGGGGGGGGGGGGGGCACGAGCACCGTGAGAACAAGGCGGACTGGAAGTGGGAGCAGAGCTCCCAGTCCACAGGCACACTGGCCTTGGCCTTGTAGCCTGAGAGCTGTGAGGAGTAGGGGTCTGTGGCTTTTGAGTGGCCCTGTCTGCGCTGTTGGAATAGCAGCCCAAGTGTGTTGGGATGTCCCCTGTTGTGTGTCAGTCATTATGTCCTGTGATCCTCCCCACGATGGATAATCTGCTTTGAACAGAGTTTTAGTGGCAGGATTAGGGCCCGAGTCTGAGCTCGTAACAGCCTCAAGATAGTGCGCGGTACCTGGAAACACGGAAGTCTGAGTCTTTCTCTGGCTGCCGAAGCAGGAAGTACAGTTGCACCAGCCTAGCACGGAGAAAGCTGAGTGGTTTGTGGGTCAGATCCAGGACTCTGCTGTCAGTCTGGGATTTCCTGAGTCGGGCACCCTCGGGGATCTGGACAGGACCCCAAGAGGGAGCACCCCTGCTCTGCAGAGCTCAGCTGCCCCCTGGTGCTTCCCTTCCTGCCCCAACACATGCAGGTTTGGGTGCTTGCCTCTTAGTTGGATGTGCCAGGCATGCCCCTGCCCCGCTGCAGCTGCCTGGGCTGGCACTCCCTCCTCCTGGCTGCCGTGTCCTCTTCTGTGTTGGCCTAGTTGACTCCAAGAACTGGTGGCATATGTGGAGTGGCACATGGAGAGAGATTTATGTTTGTGGAGTGATTGTGAATCACTCTTATACTTTGCCCTGATGACTAGGCTTCCATGCCAAAAAAGAAATTTTAACTGTGGGAATAAATGGTCTGGGTTGGCTGTTTTAAAAGCCCCTCGGGTCAGAAGAGCAGAGCTGCAGAGTTTTCAGCAGGGTTCTCTGCACCTGGGTGGTCTGCCTTTGGCTCCTCATGTTTCTAACGGTATCTCTGGGCATCTGGGCTCCTCAGGACCTACGCCTACCCTGGGGAAGTTGCTTCTGCCACCCAGGGAGGCTGCATATGTAAGCAGCTGTGTTGAGGCCCTGGTGCATGTACCTCGGTTCATGAACTCAGTTCTTCCCACAATGCAGGTTACAAACCAAATGAAATAAGAACTGAATCGAATTTCCCCATGAGGTCAACACAGAGCCTAACCATTGCACTTGATGCGGTTATAGTCTGGTTTGGTTTGCAACCAGAGTCAATGGAAAGAATTGAGTTCGTGAATGAAGGCACTGCGGTGGTTGAGTGACTGCCCTGGAGCTGAGCTAGAGTTATTTGAGCTCTTTCCAATCCTTCTTGCACTGGCGCCAACACCCCATTTTAAAAGCATCCCTCATGTTCATAGTACTTGCTATAAATATTTAAGAGTAAAATAATAATAACTGTGTATGCTGAGAAAATTAGGGCAGTGTTCCTCCGTGTTCTTGTTTGCCAGTCAGGGTCACTGGGGAGGCTCAGCAGAAGCCTGCCCCCTCAGCTCTGGGGCCTTCGAGGGCCAGGTCAGGGCATCAGCACGTTGAGCTTCTTCTCGGCTTGAACATCAGTGGTCTTTGGTTGTACCCCTTTTTTGTCCTTACCAAGGCAGGTGGCAGGCTGGCTGAGGGCCCCTCTCAGTCTTGTTTTAATAAGGCATCATATCAACGTCAAAGATTTTATTATTATTATGTATTTTGTTTTTGTTTTTTGAGACAGAGTCTCACTATGCAGTTCGGCTGCCTTGAGCTCACTTTGTAGCCCAGCCTGGTCTCAGACTTTCAGTGATCCTCCTGCCTGAGCTTCCCAGAAAGATCTTATCTTTTAACGCAGTTACATTCTAAGATGGAAGGTCAGGACTTCCGCATGAGAGCTGTGTGGAGGGGGCAGTGGTGCAGTTCAGACCCTAAGAGAAGCGGGGGTTCAAGGTCACAGGTTAAATTCCCAGGTAGGTCAGCTGACATTCTGTCCCTCGGTAGGTGTGCTGGTTGACCAATGGCCTTCTGAGTGAAGACATAGGCTACGTAGTCATCATGATAGAATGTAAGGAAAGTTGTCCTGGCTATAGTCTCCACATAGAGGCCTTCTGGAGGTCAGCCTGGGAGGGTGTCACACAGAGGCCTTTCATTCTCCTGGGTCCTGTGTGCATGCGCATGAGGCTGCACAGGTCTCTCTCTCTCTTTCTCTCTTTCTCTGTGTGTGTGTGTGTGTGTGTGTGTGTGTGTGTGTGTGTGTCGGTGGGGGGCATTGTGTGTTTAAAACCCAGCGGAAGACGGGAAAGCATCCACGTGGTGGGTTAGTTTCCATTTCATGAGGAATATAAACTTTTACATATTAATCTCAAAAGCATTTAATGAGGCAACAGAAGTTGGCAATCAAAGATCAGAAACTTGAAACTACCCAAGGATTTCTTTGTGTTTGCCATGGTAGGACCTTAGAGTGTTAGGCATGGGCTGTTCCACCGTAGTTCTGAAGCTTTTCTCACTTTGTTGCTTTCGAAGACAGCTACCAACTAAATGAACTAGGTCAAAAGTGAAAACGCTAGAAACTGTTTTCCTTTGACAAACTGTAGTAATAGTAGCCTCTCATCCTCTCCTTACCAGGCCTGGCTTGGGCGTTACCAATGTGCCCTGACCTACCCTTACCTCGCCCCAGTGCCTGCTGCTCTGGTCCCCCAAGTGCTGGCAGCTGATCAGTGGGCGGAGCCGGATAGGGGCTAGACAGGGATGGGCTCTCAGGCTCCCAACGCCACTCCAGCCTCACCTCCTATCTGCCTAGAAATAATGTCGTTTCTCTCCACAGCGGCTTGATATTGCCGTGCAATTTCTGGGAGGCTTTTTTCCCTCTGTAGATTGATTGTAGCAAAAGAAGCAAATGTGTTAATAGTTCACATCAGTTCCCAAAGACTTGTTGAAGATCATTACATAAAGAAAGTTAGGCAAATGGTTTGCTTAGAGGACCCTGAGTGTAACAGTTCTAGTCATCTGTATGAGGAGGTTCCCTCCTAGCACAGGTGGTACAGGCTGTGCGTGCTGAGCGATGTCAGACCTGCCCGGCCGGGGCTGGAGCTGCCTGTGGTATGGCGCGTCTCCTCCCACCTTGCCTTCCTGGCCGTGGTTGGGTCCTGTTGATGGCTTCCTCCAGAGTGATGAGAGGGCTGCAGGAAGCTGCCTGGCGGTGCCTTGCCATCTGCTTGAGGGGCCTGTGGTCCTGCTGAGTGGTTCCAATGCGACTGTGTCAAGGCAGGGCTCCTGGTCGCCCCTCTGTGTGGCACTTCATGGCTGACCCTCAGTTTCATAAAGCAGAGACAGTGTAGCAGTGGCGGCCATCAGGCCATCTTGTCCCAGTCTGGGCTTGGGCAGGTCACTCCCCTTCAGGCTCGAGTTCTCCTGGGAAAGTTGTGGCCACCACTCAGGGTGTTGGGAGGGCCACCTTCAGCTGCATATGTCAAGTGCTGTGTGGTTTTAATCATGTAAAGGAATGAAACAGTCTTGTTTTGTGATGTCATTTTACTGAATATAAAAATAAGAATACCAGTTTTATAAGCTGTGAAGTCTGTGTGCCTGTATTTGCCTAAAAATGCCAAAACTGGATTTCTCTGTTTTTGCATTGCAGGTGCTGGAGAGCAGAATTTATTTACTTCTATTTATCCAACGCTTTCCCAGCAGCTCCCGAGAGAACCGATGGAATGGAGGAGGTATGGGGTCTGATGCTTGGCTGTTTCTCCCTCTTCAGTTTTTAGGTGTCCCGGGGTACAAGTGGCATAGTAGGAGTCAAAATCCTCAGCCTAAGTGCATTCAGGGTCAGGCGTGGTGGCGCACACCTGTAACCGCAGCCTTTGGGTGGCTGGGGCAGGAGGGTCTCTGAGTTTGAGGCCATCCCTGGCTAGACAGTGATTTCAAGGCCAGTCTGATCTACATAGTGAGACCTTGTCTCAGAGAACCGAAGTAAGTGTATTTTGAAGACAAGTGGTGTCACATAGCCCATGGCTCTTACTCTTTAAGGTGTAGGTTGGCTTTATTTTTACTTTCTTGGTGCTGGCTATGGGAGCCAGGGCACCATGTGTACTGGACGAGCACCTGGCACCAAGCTGACTCCTAGCCCAGAGCGACATTCCTACTGAGATGTGGATGGTGATGTTTTTTGTATTAAAAAACCACTTTTCTATGTAAGTGAGTTCAAGGCTGGCCTGCATTACGGAGTGAGACCCACTTCCGTAGGACTGACTTGTGATTCTTTGTGGTTAGGCACAGAGTCGGGAGGCGGGCGGTTTGCAGAGGATACCCGCACTGCACGCTGTGAGTTCCAGCCCACTCTCCATCCAGATCCTGCTGCACAATGGTGCTCCTTAGAGCCAAAGGGAAATGGAGGAGAAGTCTGGCCTCCCTGTGGTTCCCTGGTGTGTGTGTCACAGTCACCTGGTGCCTTGGCCAGAGGAATCACAGGGGTTGTTTCTGGAAAGACTTATTTGTGGAAGATGTTTGTATTTCAACTTGCCAGTCCTGGTAATCAGGTTTTAAGTGGTGTGTACACATGTCCTGTTGTTACCCATGTCTGGGGAATTCTGATTCTCTGTCACTGCTTTCTGATCACTAGTTATGTTCCGCTAACAGGGAGAATTGTGCGGCTCTCTGGTGATGGCAGTCTAATTTCTATGCCTGGTCATAGCAGCTCGCAGGTATCTCGGATTCACTCTGTGTGACATAGGAGTGCAGGGTGGCAAGAGTGCTTAGGGAGAGAACTCGTTTCCCATGCCAGGAGGCCCAATGCCATCAGGGAGAGGATGCAGTGCAGTCAACGGAAGAACTCGATTCCTAAAGGAGGGGAGTGGTCTGTAAAGGGGCAAAGAAGCATGTATATTAAACATCCAGGCAGCTGTAAACACAGTTCATTCATGAAACGAGAGGAGAGCAGCAGAACCGAAATAGAGAAACGTCATAGACTTCGAATTAACTGCCTCAGGTGACGCAGTGCATGGAGACGCGCGAGGACAGGTCCTTGGCCTGAGCTGTGCTGCCATGGGGGGACACCACAGCCTGGGTATCTCCATGAACAGAAATCCCGTTGGTTCGTGGTTCTGGGGCCTGGAAGTCCAGGGCTGGGGAGCCGTGCCCAGCGAGCACCTCCTCCTGTGCAGCTCATGGAGGAAGACGGCACACAGGGGTGGGGCGGGGCTGAGCCCACACCTGCAGAAGGGACCCGCTCAGGTACACGTTCAGACTACAGCAGAGTGGGGGCTCTTACATGGCTGAGAGCTGGGGATATAGTTTTAGGAGAGGGAAGACAGGTTGGGAAAGAAGTACCAAAAAAGTTGAACCCAGGCTAGGTTTTGTGAGCAGGGGCCATTGGTGACCCGTAACAGCATGCGGACCTGGAAGGCAGTGATAGGACCAGAGCCAGAAAGGGGTGGCAGAGGTGTGGACTGTGAGCCGTGAGCTTAGTCCTGCCCTGTCCGAGCAGTGATGTGGCATCGAGAAGCTCCAGACCCCCGGGTCTGCGCACTGCAGCGGGAGGTGGGGGAGGAGCGTGCCAAGCCCAGCACCCTGAGTTCCAAACAGGACAGCCCAGTCAGGTGTGTCTGCAGCCAGCCCCTGCGCCCATGCAGGAGGGTCATTTCAGGAAAGTGGGGACCCAGGGGAAGCCTGCCATATGCTCCTCCACAGAAGGTGATCGAGGAGGTGCCCATCTAGCTTAGCAAGGGAATGTGAAATTTTAGAGAGATATGTCCACTTGAAATGGGCCCTTTTTTTTTGCAGTTACCTTGTTAGTAAGGCAAGGCGCTTTCTGTGAGAGTGTTCTAGATTAAGGGAGACCCCAAATCCGATATGTCCTTGTAAGAGAGAGACAGGAATGAGACACACACATAGGAGCGATGGAGACAGGGTTACAGGGATTCAGCCACAGTCGAGGGAAGTGCTGGGGCTGTCAGCAGGCCCTGGAGGTCAGGCAGGGGCTAGGAACCTCCCCCGAGCATCCAGTGTACACTGACCCCACCAACACCTTGATTGTGAAGTGTCCTGGCATGCGAGGGAGGGAGCTGGTGTTTCCAACAGCCCCAGGAGACAGAGGAGGGAGGCTGGAAGGTATGTGCATGCACAGGCTGAAAGCTGCCTAATGTGTGGTGTTTCACAGTGGGTACCTACTACGCTGGTAAAATGTAGAAATTGATTAGATCTTGGAGATGAAGGAATATGCAATGAACAGCTATAAGCACTTTGAAAACCTGGGCCTAGAGCTCGGAGGCTGCTGCTGAGAGCAGAGAGGATGACAGGAGCTGGAGACAGAGGATGCAGGCCGAAGCCCACTGCCCTCAGGGGAGATGGTCAGGGCAGGGAGGGACATGTGGGGCCGACCCAGAGGTTTCGAGAGGTGGGCCAGGATGCTGAGAAACCCGCCGGGTGATGTGCAGATGAAATCACATGCCAGGCCCAGAGGTCAGGGAGGGGTGCAAGAGCCAGGTGCACAGTTCAGCAGTGTTCACCGTGGCACCAGGAATGGTCCTTGCAATGCCCTTAGGGAAAACCTTCAGCACTGACCCCCCATGAGGGGAGGGCTGGGTCACGGCCTCTCCTGGGCCTTGCTGGCTTCTGGCTTTGGGCAGCTGCATGGGCCTGCCTCTTACACTTGGGAGCACTGCAGTAGGTGGGGTGGCCTCAGACTGTCCTGGATCACAAGCTTCCCCTGTTGAGGAATAACTAAGGGTGCCTCCTGCAGATGACACCAGCTTCAGTCTTTGGGGGTGGGTACTCAGCATTAAGCCAAGGGTCTTTATGCTGCGTTATATCCCCAGCCTTGGTTGTTACCTTTTATTTTGAGCCAGGTTTCACTAAATTGCTGAGTTGTCCTGGTCAAGCTTGAACTTGTGATCCTCCTGCCTGATCCTTCCAGAATGTGACAGTGAACACCTGGGAGTTCCAGGTGTACACCATCATATCTGGCTTGACTTTAGTCTGTGTGTGGAAAACTCAAGATTAACTGTGGATAAGATGTAGTTTGTAGCTTGTTGGATTTTTAAAGTAAACAATTAATAGAAGAATAGAAATAGATGGTTAAGCTTTCTGGTTAAGCCAGAAGAAGATCATTGGATGGAAAAGAAAACTTGATTATATCTCAGAAATGACAGAAGAAATAGGAAACTGCAAAGAGAAAGTGCCTGAGTTTGTAGGCTCTAACGGGTAATGCTGTGACAGTGATGTCTTGTCAGCCACACTGCTCTGACACAGCCTCTGTTTTCCTGCGCATTCAGATGCCTGGCCAGGCACCCACTGTGTGCCCAGAAACTTGAGGTCTGGGGAGACACCCAAACCATTTGGTTTTCCAAAACACATGGCTCTTTTCATTGATTTCCTTATGGTCCTTGTTCTCACCGTAAATTGTTGTGCTTGACATCACTCTCACCCTAAGTAAACTCTGTAAAAAACAAAATAGCAGGAACACACATCAGCTCAGGCATGAAGGTAGCTGCAGCATCTAGGGCTGGTACCCAGTGCACACAGAGCTTCCTGAAGTGGGGTTAAGATCCAGCCATAGAGGTGGGGAAGACACCGCTTCTGGGGGTGGAGGGAACCCAGAGACAAAGACTCGGGGCATGATTAGCATCCTAGGCACCTGAGGCACAGTGCTGCCTCCTCCCAGCCTTAGGTGAGCTGCCTGCAGCTTGGGCTGAGCTTGTGCCTTCTTTTTGGGTTGAGAGAAAGAGAGGTTTGTGCCTCTTTTATTTGAGTGCTGCAGATGAAAGCTGTTCTTCTTTACCACATAACCCTGCTTTTGGCTAGCACAGGTAGTCCTAAGAGCTTTAGTGTCCTTGAGGCTTGTGGACTTAGGCCTGCACTTCTGACTGGGGACGCTGGCTTCTTGTTTCAGGGGGGTGAGGCTGGATGTGCAGTGCTTTGGACAGGATTTTGGAGGCTAATGTGTGTGCTTCGTCGGAACCCCCACGTTGAGTGCTCCCCATTCTGCCCTCTGCCCTACCAGATGTCATCTGACTGTCCTATGGCTTTCCACTGTCTGCAGGTCCTATGGCCGCGCCCCCAAGATGATCCACCTCGAGTCAAACTTCGTTCAGTTCAAAGAGGAGCTGCTGCCCAAAGAAGGAAACAAAGCTCTGCTCACCTTCCCCTTCCTTCACATTTACTGGACGGAGTGCTGCGTGAGTACTGACCTTCAGAGGAGAGGCTGGGCGTGTCGCGTGTGCGGCTTCGCCAGACAAGTGTGGTCTTCGCCCCAGCCTGTGGCGTTGCCCTTGGTGCTTCTGTTCCTGTCAGTGCAGTACTGGAGGGAGCCCTGCATGCAGCTTGAGTCTTAGGAGCCATCCACTGTGCCCCGGGGGCACCAGGTGTGCTGGTGGAGCTGCGTGGAAACGTGCTTTCAGTGTCATTTTCATACAGCCGGTCCCTGCCTGTCCCCCGGCCCTTGCTGGCCTTGGCAGCCCTTGCTTCTGCTTGGCTGTGTGAAGCGGTCTGTGTTTCCCCAACTAGGACCTCAGTGCTGCGGGCTGCAGCCTCCTGCAAGTCCTGCAGCTGTGTGTTCATGAACTCAGACCCAATTCTGCTCTGAGTGAGTAGAAAGTTCTGAGGGTGATTTCTTCCTGTTCTGACTAACTAAAAAAACAGCCAGGATGCGTTGTAGACACGTGCAACTCCCAGGAGGAAAGTGTGTGCTGCAGGCACAGCCAGCAAGCAGTTAGCTGGGTGTGGTGGTGCATGCCTGTACCCCAGCACGTAGGGAGGCTGCCGGCAGGGGTCACCAGGTGCGGCCCAGCGTGGGCAGCTTAGTGCCACGCGAGACACTGTCTCAGAGGGCAGTGTGTCACCCAGTGTGTAGGCCTGAGCTCAATCCCCAGTGCTAACCAAAGCAGAATGCCTGGCACTCAGCAGTGTGTATTTGGTGGGTGTACGTTACAGATGGGGCACACATAGCTGTTGCTGAGGCTGTAGAGATCACTTTTGTGATTTTAATATGGCAAGCGCTGGAGGCCTGTGTCTGGCTCCTCCTGCACCTTGCCCTGCACCCTTTTCCAGAGCAGTCACGTGGGATGGATGATGCCGATGGGGAACTCAGGTGAGACACCGTCTGCCGGGCAGGCTTGTTAGACTGTGTTCAGTTTTTATTGAGAACATCAATAGAACATGCCAGAGTTCTAGAAGGGAAGCAGCACTGAGCATAGACTAAGTTGTGTGTGCACATAGTGTGTCTGGGAGTCTCTTGACTCCCACTTTCCAGGTTGTGCCTGTAGCCTGGGGCCGTCGTGTGCTGCATGGCAGTCCTGGGCCTGCTACTCCAAGTCGTCTTCTCTCCATGACCTGTCATCCAGGCAGTCAAGTGCTTGGTCACAGAGCTGCCCTGTTTCTTCATGGTCAGCTTCCTGTTTTCCCGGGGTTACCAGTGTGATTAGGGAGCCACTCCAAGACCTTGTGAGTACCCTGTCCCCACCCCATAGTGAAGATTCTTTCTCCAGGACCAGTCTTGGCTAACTGTGCTGTCTTCTCACTGAGAGAGAGAGCCATGTTCCCCGCTGTGATGCCCAAGCTGCCCAGGTCAGACCAAGGGGGCCCCTGCGGCTGGCTCCTGTGTGCCTGGGCACATTCTGACTTTTTGGCTTGGGGAGATACTCCAGGTCCTCGCGCTGTTTCCCTTGTGCTAGAGACTGCCGCCTCAGGGAGCACTGACCCTTGGGCAGTGGCCTGCTGGTGGCTGCTCCCCCAGTCTTTTTGTTGGCAGAGCTGAGATGTGTCGTGCAGATTTTGAGCAGGTGCTGTCGCCTGCATTTGCAACCACCCCCCACCTGCTCGCTTTTGCTTGTTGTGCCTGTGCGTAACGGCATCGACGTGTGTGCAAAGCACTGCACGTGCCAGAATGAACACACCTCTGGGGGCTCAGGCTGTGAGTGCAGCATGCAGTGCTGGAGCAGACAGCCGTGAGTCCTCCCTCGGGTGTGTCCCCACCACGGTGTTCCTTGCCACTCCTGGGGTTTGTTTTGCTGTTTCTGTGGGGACTGAGCTAGGTTTATAGACGACGTACTCAGAACCTGCTGGGGTGGGTTGGGATGCCCCAGCCCCAATGGGTGTCTTCCCTCGGTGTGTCACACTTGTTCACTATCCCTCACACGCTCCTCCTCCCTTCCCTCCCCTCCCCTCCCCTTCCCTCCCCTCCCCTCCCCTCCCCTCCCTTTCCCCTCCCCTCCCTTTCCCTTCCCTTCCCTCCCCTCCCCTCCCCTCCCCTCTTTCCATTTTTCCTCTTTTTTTCTTTATCATGTTGGTTTTTTTTTTGTTATAAACAAATGTTAACAGTAAAAATTAATGGGATTTACTATAAACTTTCTACACTATAAAAGTTTATTTCCATAAACTTAAACATTTCCTTTTAAATTTGTTATTCTGTTCCTGCTATTGTGAATGGAGCTTTTGTGCCCATTTTTTTTTTTTTTTTCTTTTAGATAGCCCAGGTGGCCTTGAACTCACAGCAGTCCTCATGCCTCAGCCTCTCCAGTGCTGGGGTTACAGATGTGCACTGCCATGCTGGCCCCTTGTGTATTCTGATTGATTTTTTTCCCATACCTGCCTTGCTGAATACTTTGATTGTGTGAGTTAGTTTTATTGTTTATGTTCTGAGCTCCGAAGTGTAGGATTTTCCAGACACCCATAATGTCTTGTGCAAAAGAGGCTTTGCTTTGCCCTGCCTCCCTCCCTTCCAGTTTTGTGGTACTGAGGATCAGACGCGGGCACTCTGCCGCTGAGCTATATCCCTGCTCCCCGCCTTTTTGAGTTTGGAGACAGCGTCTCACTAAGCCTGCAGATTTGGACTTGCAGTCCTCCTGCCTCAATCTCCCAGAGGCCGGGATTACAGGTGTGCACCACCTCTTGTCTCCTCAGTTCTAGCAGCTGGAATCGCCTTCCCTGGCCGAGGGTAATATCGGCCAGCAGGGCCTCGAGCTGTCAGAACCTCTGCCTTGTGGCTGGCCTCTGGGAGTGCTGCAGGATGCGGAGGGCTTCAGACTGCGGTGTGCGCTCAGGGTGGGAAGTGGCCATCCTGTCCCACTTGCTCAGGAGAGTTTACTAGGAGTACGAGTTTTGTCAAAGGTGTTTTCAGAGAGATAGGTGCAATTTCCCCCTGTGTGTGTTGACATACTGAGTTGTGTTCTTGAACTAGACCTGCATCCTGTTGTAATTCCTGCACCTGGCCAGAATCTCATTTTCTCAGTGTCATATTGGAGTATGCTCATGTTAGGATTTTCTGCATCTGTGTTCACAAGTGGTTGCCTGAAACTTCTGTGCTGTCCTTGTAAGATTAAGGTATCGGTGTTGTACTTGATTCATAAGAGACCTTGAAAGTTTTCATCTGCTTTCTGTCTATGAGCAGTTTCTGTGTCTTGGGAGCTGGAATCTGTGAAACCACCTTGGCAGGTGCCTTCTTATAGGGTGTTTCTGTGATAGCGTTCTGGAAATTGATCTGTTCAGCCATTTGTTAATTTTAACACACTGTGTTTTTAGGAAAAAGCGTGCATTTCAGTTGAATTCTAAAATTTTTCGGGCTGGGGATAGAGCTCAGTGACACAGTGCCTGCCTGGCAAGTGTGAGGTCTTGAGTCCAATTCCTAACACCAAAAAAACATTTTTGTTTGTTTTCACTGAGGTGTGGTCTTTTTTGACTTTGAAAATGTGGACTACATTTTCCAGTGGTTATTTCTTTTTTTTTTTTTTGTCTTTTTCCTTCTTATCGGTACCAGGGATCGAACTCACGACTGCCTGCTTGCAAGGCAGGCACTTATGCCGCTGAGCTAAATCCCCAGCCCCCAGTGGTTATTTCTTATTTTGTATATTTGGTCTTTCTTTTTTATTAAATTACTGGCAGTTTATTGACTTTTATTTATTTTTTTCAAAGAGCCAGGATTTTTATTAGTCTGTTAGCCTATTTTCTACTTCATTAATTTATTTTCATTTTTGTTACTTTATTTTTGTTGTTTATGATTTGCTTTGGCCGTTTTCTGTTTTTTTTTTTTTTTTACTTTTTTTGGTAATACATTTTTCTTCTTTCTTAAATTTTTATTGATAACCAGCTGTAAAGTCACACATTTTCCTCTGATGACTATTTTGAATGTGTCCCAGTGTTTTTATCTGTTTGTATTTCTCCTTCTACCTGTAGTTGTTTAGCCATTTGTTGGTCTCCAGGGGCTGGGGATTCTCAGCGGCATAAGCTATTGGTTTCCAGGAAGAGAAATTAATAAACTTGTTTATTGGAATTTCCCTGTTTTCTTGCATTGCGGTCAGAAGGCTTTGGACATAGTATTCTGCTCTCTGTTTCCGTGAGCTTTATGGTGTCCCCCCATGTTCAGACTGTAGTGAGGAAATGTGCCCAAAGAGCTTCCTCACTGCTGCGGGGTCTAGGACAGTTCAGCTGTGGTCCACTTGGCCTGTCCTTAGTGGACAGTGGTGGTGGTTCCTTGTCGGTGGTGTTTCCATCTCCCTAGCATCCTCACAGAGGTGTAGGTGTAGTCATCTGGCAGACAGTCTTAACTGGCCAAACTTGATTTACCTGGAACCTGTCGTTTAAACATGGTTGCTCCCCATGGTGTCCTGCTTGAGGAGTTCCTGGCTGTGCCTCAGTGAGCACACAGCAGCTCAGTGCCATCTCAGTTCCCCCTTATAAGAGCTGCCCTCTTTACAAGACCAGCGTCCTGCACTTACAGTGATAGGATCTTTATGCAGTCTATGTTCCACTGTTGATCATTATCTGTCCCTGGCCTGACGGAGATGTTTTTATTATTACGTTTCTCGTTCTGTGTGGTTACCTGTTCCTTTAAAGCAAACCTCTTTGCGAACCCACATCCTCTCCTTGCTGCTGAGGCTCTCCTTGCTGCTGGTATCCTGGCTTGGACCAGCCTGTCTGGTTCTGCCTGCTCCTCTGTGCATGTGGTGCCATCCTCTGCACAGTCTGTGCTTCTTCCCTTTACGCTTGGTGGCCTCTGGTTTGCAGAAGTGGCACTAGGTTTTGAGCTCAGTCAGAAAGGGGTCCTGCTGGACGTGGTGCTGCACACCTGTAATCCCTTACTAGAAGGCTGAGGCAGAAGGGTAGGAGGATTACCATGAGTTTGAGGCCAACCTGGGCTACATAGTGAGTTCAAGACCAGCCTTACAGTGACCGACATAATGAGGTGCCATCTCAAAAAAACCAAGTGGGGAAAGAGAAATGGCAAATACTATGCCTTCTGCCAGGTCCTCATGAGATGCTTGACTTTGTGCCCAACTTCCTGTTGTGTGCCACTGTACACCCCAAGGAAGGCCACCCCAGGGGAAGACCAGCCAGGGTGCTCAGAGTCCTGGAGCCCACTCAGCTCTTGCAGTCTGCCCCACATGTTCTCCTCCCAGCTTGAAAGTACTGCAGCTGCCACTGTGCGTGCAGAGGCCACTTGCCCCTGCTGTGTCCTGGTTGTAGCTCCCTAAGCGAAGGAAGTCCCAAAAGCCACTGCTTGAGTGGTTGGCTGTGTATCAGCAGTCTTGGCACGGCAGAGGGAGAAGGTGAGAAGGTGCCTTGATTTGGTTCAGGAGAGCGAGGTTAACAGCTGTGAATCTTGATGCCTGGAGTGGTATGATCTCCATTCGCTGCCTTTTTTGGTCTTTAGACGTCTTCCGTCTTTGGTTCCTTAGTTTAGTTTTCATGGCTGTTGTGAACGAGGTTTTTTCTGCCTTAAAATAATGACATTCCAAGAGGAGGCTTTTAGAACATCAGGTGTGGTGATGCTTATTTCAGAAGTGCTACGGTTAGTGGATGGTGGCTGGGGCTGCAGTGACAGGAGCGCTGCTTGTTTCTTCTGGAACAGCTGCCGCTCAGGCTCGGCGCAAGCCTCCTTGGAGGGGTGGCTCATGGCTGGCTCTCGGTGGCTGGTATCCCAGTGTGCCTGCCTGGGCTGCCCATGGCTCTGCACTGTGGATCCTGCAGTGTGTGGGTGCGGTTGCTGCTTCAGGCAGAGACTGCCTGCCTCACTGGCATCGTTTGCGGTCCTACCTGTGCGGTTGCGGACTTGGTCGGGTGTGGGTTTCCTTCCACCGAGGGGCTCGAGTTTGTGTGGCAGGCCTGTTGGTGATCAGTTCTCTCAGCCCTGTATACACCAGCCCACCTTTATTTTGCCTTCATTTCAGCAGAGTGTTTTCACAGGACAGGGAATTCCAGTGTGGCAGTTTTTCTTACCACAACTTTAAAGCTGTTGGCCCCTGGTTTTGGTTTCTTTCTTTCAGACTAAACAGTTTGTATTTTTTCCTTGTTACTTTGTTCATAAATGTCTTTGATTTCAGATGTTTCATTATCACTGGTTTTTAATAGTTTGATTGATTTGTTTTGGTATATTTATTAATATTTTTTGTGCTTGAGGTTTCAGAGCTTGTTGGACTAAAATTTTCATCAAATTTGGGAAAATTTTTGTGATTGTTCCTTCAGATGTGTTTCTACCTCTTTGTAGATGTGGAGGTGGAGACTGACCAATTGGCCTATCTGTCCATAAGCCTGCAGCCCCTTGCAGCCCCGGGCTCATTGCTGTTCAGCTGTTTGCAGCTGTTTCTGGAACTTCTTCCTCTGTGCTGCATTGTGATGATTTCCGGAGCTTGCCTTAATGTTGGCTGGTTTTTCTTTTGCGTGGTCTGGATCACTCTGGTTTTACCCAGTTGTGGTTTTGATCTCCAGGAGTGCTGTGCAGGTCTCTTCTTCCCCTGTTCAGCGCTAGTCCCCTGCCTTCTTGAGGTATTCGCTGTGTTACAGCTCAAGGACTGTTTGAATAATTGAAGTTAGAGCCTACAGAAGGGATTTATAGTGCATGAGGACAGTTACAAAGTTACAGGGCCGGGAATATAACTCAGCAGGTAAAAGGTCCTGTGTTCATTTCCCAGCCCTAAAAAAGAAAAAAGAAAAGATGCAGTTACAGTTAATAGGGAGAATACCCATATCCCCGGGCCTCACTGCAGGTGATCTGAGCTGGCCTGTTGCTTTACTGCAGAGGGACACTGTTTCGGACAGGCTGGTGTTGGGGACGAAAGGAGAGGGGACTGACTGGAGGAACAGCCTAGCTCTGAAGACTGCGAGTTGGGAAGTGTGTGGGAGCTGAGTTGCAGGTGGCCTCCCTCGGCTCTCCCTGGAAGCTGCTGTGCTTCTGATGGGGCCTGCAAGGGCCTCAGGGTCACAGTAGGTTCTGGTGCTCTAGAGAGCCAAGGCCTATGGGCAGCACCGAGAGCTGGCCCTGGGTTCCACTGCGTGGCCACAGAGGCACTATGGAGTATCAATCCTGCCCTGCTGCATGGACAGTGCCGCTTCGGCGACCTTCCCAGTGCTCAGAGCCCCAGGGTGCTGCCTCTGGGGAGAGCCGTGTGCCCTACCATTTACCATCATCGAATGCATTGCACCATGTAACCATGTATGTGCCCTGTAGGCACTGAGGGGCGTGTGTTCACAGTGATTTGTTTATTTTTAGGATACAGAAGTGTACAAAGCCACGGTAAAGGATGACCTCACCAAGTGGCAGAACGTTCTGAAAGCTCATGGCTCTGTGGACTGGTTGATAGTAGTAGTTGAAAATGATGCCAAGAAAAAAAATAAAACCAACATCCTTCCCCGAACTTCCATTGTGGATAAAATACGAAATGACTTTTGTAATAAGCAGAGTGACAGGTAAGTGCACCTTCTGGCATGTCCACTGGTTGCTGTCAGACCCGTGCAGGTCACTGACTTCCTGGGCCTGTGGAGGGCAGGGCCCTGTCCCTGGAGTTTTGGTTTGGTCAGCATGTGTGAGGACAGGGGAGGATCTTGGGCCAGGGACCCTGAGGAGACCACACAGCGCCTGTGTCTGGAGTCAGCCCTGGGAACCCTGCAGTGCTGGCCGGGGGTGGCTTGCTTAGCTTCTGCTGCTGAGCGGGACCCTGCTGTATGGCTGGTGTGGCACTGTGTGGGGGCACCTGTGTGAGCAGACCCTGCTCACCTGCTGTGCCTGCTCTCTTCCTTTCTGCTGTCCCCAGACAGCCATGGTGCTGAGACCCCGGCCTGCAGGCTGCTGCTTGCCCTCTCCCAGGGCCCTAATCCCCCATCATGCAGCAGGGGCTCCAGTGCTGTGAGATGCAATAGGAGGAGCCAGCCTGGAGTGCCACAGCCAGGGCCCACAGCTTTCTCATTATATGACAGTTCCGATGTCATTGTCACCCCAGATGTCCAACAGGTCTTCGAGCAGAGCCCAGGGAGGGTCCTTTACCTGCTCCATACAGTCCTGGGCACATGGTGCTGTTCAAACTGGCTTCATGGATCCTGGCATACCCGAGAGAAATTTCATGCAGTTGGACTTGTGACAGTTTTCCTTCACATGGCGCTTCGTAAACTAGCCAATCAGAAGCAATCAGTGTGACACATGAACGAGGAGATGCTGCAAACCTGAGCGTTCTTCCCCTGGCGCAGCTCAGGCGTGCTCGTGATTCCATTCTGAGTGAGGAGCACACAGTCTCCACCAGGAGGCAGCAGGGGTGGTGCACACAGGGCTGCAAAGGCGGGCGGCTTGCAGGGCTCAGGGCGAGGCAGAAGCAAAAGCAGTGCTGGGCAGGGCTGTGCGCGGGAGTGCGGCTTCTGAGGTGTGCTGCTGTGGACATCCAGGGGACATCCAGGGAGCAGCGATGGTTATCTCGTAGTGCTTCCTTTGAAGTCAGATTAATTTGTTTCTAATTGACAGAGGTATGTTTCTGTTGAGCCTGTGGAAACTAACAGGGCTTTCAAAGCTGTTCTTTATGCTTAAATTCAACATTCTAAAGTTTTAACATTTCATTTTTGGTAGGTTAAACGTGCCATGTACCATTTTGATCTTCGTTAATTTGTAAACCTTTATTTTTTTTTAAACAAATCTCTTTTTTTTTTTTAACATAGAAAGTTGGGTCAGGTTCTAATTTGAATGTAGTATACTTGGTTAGAACTGTTGTTTCATTACATAATGTAATTTCTGGTCTTTGAAAATATGGGAACAAATGGCCCTAAAGTGTTTTTCTGAGCTTTGTATGTGCTTAATTTTTTATTGTGTTAAGTGTTCTGTGTAGAATTTTTAAAGAAAAGTAGTGAGCAGAGAGGAAGTGTATGTTACCTAAGCATCGCATTGTTTTTCCCACTCTCTTTCATCATGCATCGCAGGCACGTGTGTGTCACCCCAATACCGTCCTGGGTGGAAAAGGTGTCTGGATAGTGAATGATTTCTCTACCATCACTGAGTGAGTGGAATATTCCAGTGCTTTAATGCACTACAGCTTCTTCCTGTAGTCCTCTGCAGGGTTGGCAGGTGGTTGCTTACCTCTTGTGAGCAGCAGTATCATGAACATCTTTGTAGCACAGGTGTTGTGAACACCTGAGCACTGCCTTAGGAAAAAATTCCTCAAGAAAATTGCTCAGTACCGGGTTTTGTGCATTGTCAGGCTTCTGACAGTGCCGGAGTGTGTTTGGCCCCTCGCTCCTCCCCACAGATCTGGTCTCCTGTTCTTAGTTAACCATCATGGTGACCATGTGCTGTGAGTTTCTGAAGCATGACTTTCAGTAAAAATGGATGACAGCCCAGAGGTGGTAGAAGTTGAAGGGCTGACAGAGGGTGGGATATAGTGAACATGTACGTCTGATTGGTAAACACTGGGTCCCTGGGGGAGCAGTGATCTTGGTTCCTGGCATGGCAGTTTCCTTCTCTGTCTCTATAGGATGCAGAGAATTCGTGTCTTCTCAGCAGTAGTGATGCTGATTATAACCCATGAGAGTGCTGTAGGGAAGGATTCTGGAGCCTGCAGACCCCAGCAGCTCAGAGAGCCAACGTTTCCCTGATGTCCTTGGGCACCTGCCTGTTGGGGAAGAGTCCAAAATGGAGCACCAGGATGGATGGTTTTGTTTCCTTCTTGGTTGTGACGGTCTGCACGGTAGTCTGTGTCAGTGTGCTGTCACAGTTTTTGTTGTTGTTGTTGTTGTTTTTTAAAGACAGAGGCTCACTGTCCAGGCTGCCCTTGAACTCAGTGTCTAGCCTGGGCTGGTCTTGAACTTGCGCGTCTCCTGCCTCAGCCTCCTGAGGGCTGGGATGACAGCCTGTGCCACTTTCTGTCTGCTGATGTGCTGGCTTGGATTTAGCTGACTCTCCATAGTGGGCGTGCTGGAACTCATTTTCCTGTTTCTTTTTTTTTTTTTTTTTTAATCTTTTTTTTTTATTTTATTTAAGGAGAAAAGAAAAAAAAGCAGAGAAAGGGTACAAGTTATACAGATTTACAGAAAAAAAATGAACAGTAGGAAATCACTAGTTAATGGATTACATATTGTCATCCTAGAAATAATTGTTCAAGACACAAAATTAAAGCTTATAAAGTGGACATTCCATCAATGATACTGCAAACAGTTCTGTTCAATGATCCAATAAAACTCTGTGATATCATTTTCTATCTTATACACTTAAATATACATGCAGTTATATAGTTTAGAGCACTTTCTTTTCCTCTCTTTTGTACCATGACTATTACACATTTTGGGTTTCATTGCTCCCACGGTTCTTATTACTTTTTTGGAAGAGAGTAAAACCAAATGTGACATAACAGAACAGAATCGATCAAGTCAAAAGGGTGGACATAATAGACAATGTAAAAACATGATACAAGGTGATCAACAATGGTTACCATAATGCCTCCCGCTATCTCTAATAGAATTGCCTATATCGTTAGTTATAATACAATTGAACAAAACAGTAAAGAATAAAAACAACAAAACCAAAACATTGGAGACATTGTAGGTCTTCAAAAGTAGATAAAAGTCAACGAGAATGGGCGTTATAATGAATCTCATTATCTTCTCAGCTGATGCCTAAACTTTCGAACCTGATACTATCCAGCAAAACAGAATAGGGGAACATCAGTTAAAAACCAGATGGTGAGAGTAATACAGGGCTTTAAATTGAGGTAATGGAAAGTCAAAGTGGGTTACTATAATATATCCTGCTATTTTTTTTCCTTTAATTAAAAGGATAAAGATAAAGTAAATAATGAAGTGGAGATTGAGATAAAAGAGGGCATAACAACGAAACAGGGCAGATCAATACATAACCATTTAAGCAGAATAGTGTTTCACCACCAGATAATCCCGACCCAAAAGTAGTTACCATATTGTCTCTTTCCTTGAAATCCTTGAGTACAACTTCGTATACTGTAGCATTAAGTATATCAAAACAATGTAAAACCATTTAAGAGAATGACAGCATTACAGAGTATTTAGAATCAACTAACAGAAAATGAACAATGGTTTCTGTATAATCTCCTTGTCTTTAAAAGGTTTTTGCTTATACTATTGTACATAACAAAATCCAATAAGATACAACCTATTTAGACCATTGGAAACAGAAGAACAAAAGCTAGATGAGACTTCAAAACAAGATGATACTAAATCAGTATTACCTATTAAGATGTCATTTTCTCCCAAATAGCTGTTCCTATCATCCAATCTTCTCTGCCTCATTTCTGTTGAGCTCTTTTTCTGTCAGTAGCTGTCAGTTTGTCTTCTTCATTTTGTTCTCTGCTCCATTCGTTATGGCCTCCCTGCCACTATTTCTGGGTTCTTTGTATTTTTCTTTTTTTAGAATATCCTGCAATACTCTCTGTAGAGTTGAATTGGTGGCCGCAAACTCTCCCAGTTCCTCTTTATCCTGGAAGCACATTGTTTTTCCATCAATTTCCAGGGACAGTTGTGCAGGATATCTCAATCTTGGCTGGAGATTATTATCTTTCAAAGCTTGAATTATTTCCCCCCATGCTCTTCGTGATTTGATGGTTTGTGCAGAGAAATCTGCTGTAATTCTGATGGGTGTTCCCTTGTAAGTGGTCTGTTTCTTGTCTCTGACAGCTTTTAATATTCTGTTCTTGTATTGAATTTCTGGAATTTTGATTATTATATGCCTGGGTGTTGCTCTGTTTGGGTTGTAGATAGCTGGGGTCCTGTATGCCTCATACATCTGAGTATCTTTACCTTTTGCTAAATTAGGAAAATTCTCCTGGATTATTTCTGTGAGTAGCTTTTGTAGTTCACTTGTTTGTGTCCCTACTTCTTCTTTTATGTTCTTAATCCTTAAGTTATGGCTCCTCTTATCATCTTCTTGTCTTTGTATTATTGCTGTTTGTTTCTTTGTTATTTTTAAGAAGTTTTTCATTTCATTCTCCCATATTACAAGTCTGCCCTCCAGTTCAGATAGTCTGTCCTTAGTTTCTTTCAAGCTGTTATGCCAGTCTTCGATAGACTTCTTAGTTTCTTGGTAGTCCCTTTGAACCTGCTTCACGTATTCTATGCTTTCTCTGTTTTCTCCATCAAACAATTCTCCCCTCTTTTTCTGTTCTTCCATTCCACCATCTGTTTTTTCTTGGGTGGTGCTTAGCATTTCTCTAACTATTCTGCATACTTCTAGCTTCAGGTCGTTGATAACTTCATTCCTGAATTGGTCTATGAGGCTCTCTATATGGCGCTTTATGTCTATTGGTGCGGTGTCCGCTATTGCCTGTTTCTCAGGATTGGGGGCCGAGGAGCCTTTCTTGTTGCTGCCTCTTCCCATATTCTCTGTTCCTTATATATTCAAGCTTATATAGGAGACCCAGCTTCTCTCCCTGTCAGCTACAGCCTGATCGAATTGCTCCGGTTAAGTGTTCCCACCCACCACAGCACACCAGGAAGTTGCAGATCAGGCAGCCTACTCGGGGGTGGCCCCTCCCGGCTCTGGGATCTGGGTTGGGCCAGCCCACCAGGTCCGCCAGCAACGTCACGCAGGCCAGGCACTTTTCACCAATCCCGCCCAAGAGGGGGATGTGTGGCTGGAGTCGCCACTGCGCCCTGCTCCCGCAGGACTGCCGGGGCCCAGAAAGTCCTCCGCTGGAGTCAAACTGTTGTAGAGTGTCAGTTTCTCTCACTCACCTCACCACAAGTCAGTGCACGCCTCCCTGCCCGTCCAGTTTTCGACTCCGTTCGCAGACTCCCGTTCACAGAGCTTCTGCACATCTCTCCTTGCCGAGCCGCTGTAGATGCAGTCGCCGGCCGCGCGGCGGGAAACCCAAATCGCGGCTTCCAATGGCGTGGGGTCCAGCCTCCACACCGAGGCTTTTCTGTTCCTGTTTTAGCACCAGGACTGCATTCCTAGTTGGTTTCTCTCAGCCCAGTTCGTTCCTGAGTCAGCAGAGCATATCTCCACCTGCTTATGTCTCCTTAGTCCACACCATTCCTGGCTTCTGAGCCGAGTCTTTCAGAGAGCCTCTGGTAGTTGCTGTTATCTGTCCGCCATGTTCTCCCGGAAGTGTCATTTTCCTGTTTCTAGGTAGTGTGCACTGAGGAGAGATGTCGAAGCTCATGGTGTCAAAATTTCAAAACCATTTCTGCCGCAGACAGCTCAGCAGCATAAGTGTGTGTCTGACAGGCATGAAGTCATGAGATCAATCCCCCATACCAAAATAATTCTGAGTTCGGATTTATTGTTTTCCTTCTCAGTTACTATTTCCAAGGCTAAAGAAAGGTACCATTTCCACCCAGTGGGCAATATACCGCTATTCCTAACCATGAGAACTTTTCTTAGCGCGATGATCTGGTGCCTTCACCCCAAGGAGGGGCACTCCAGGGTCCTCTGTGCAGTTGTGTGGTCCCAGAGCGAGCAGATGACTCCTTGCACAGGTGACAGCTGAGTGAGCAGGCGTGTATCCGAGGGTGCAAGAGGGCTCAAGGTGTCAGCGGCCCAGTTTGGGTAGGAGGGATTCAGGCCACATGCCAGGCCTGGACCAAGGTCATCCTGTGCCAGGTTGAGAGATGTACATTTCATCTGGGCAGTGGGAGGAGCTGGTAGAGATTCTGAGGGCAGACCTGAGCCCTTGGGGCCCTGAACTCCTGTCCCCTCTCTAGGCTGCTCTGCAGCAGACCCCCTGGAACCCTTGCAATGCTTGCTGCCCGGGCTTGACCCTGCGTGGGGTCTGGGCAGTAACAAGGTGGCACTGTGTCTGGGGGCTTCAGACAGGCCTTCATGTCTTTGCAGGTGTGTCGTGCTCTCTGATCCCTTGAAGGACTCTTCCCGAACTCAGGAATCCTGGAATGCCTTCCTGACCAAACTCAGGACGTTGCTTCTTATGTCTTTCACCAAAAACCTAGGCAAGTTTGAGGACGACATGCGAACCTTGAGGGAGAAGAGGACGGAGCCGGGCTGGAGCTTCTGTGACTACTTCATGGTCCAGGTACCTGGCTGGTGGCACCTCCTGCTGTCTGAGAAGGCGCTCCCCAGGGTTCTCACAACAAGTTTCCTAGACGCTGAAGTGGCCAGAGCAGGCCTTTCCTTTCCCAGAGGGCGGTGGACAGTTCTGGCTCTGTCCACTGTGAATTCGGCAGAGGGGGCTGCAGCTGGGACACAGGTGTTTGTTCATGGCTTGCCTTGCCTGGGACTGAAGGATGGCTTGTGGGGACACAGCCTCCATGGTTCTGCATCATGACCTGGGCTCCTGTGTGAGATTGTGTTAAGCTGGTGGTTTACTGCAATTCACCAAAAGTTTAAGTCGTTTTAAAAAATGTAATTTTATTTAACTCTTTCCCTTCTAAGATGAAAAGTCTTAAAAGAACAGAGGGATGGGCAGTGGTCAATCGGAGGTATGGATACCCCTGAATACTCAGACAGGAGCACTCTTCGCAGGATCTCTTGTCCTTATTTTCCATCTCTTGATGGAGAAGGCACAATTTCATACCCAGATAGCAGTTGTGTGTTAATTCTGAAGAAATAATGCACTTTTAATAAATCAAAGAACCATTCTGATGAGAGCTTGATTTCCTACTCTGAGGCTCTCTGGGACACTTGGACTCTGGCATGTGTCCTCACACTGCGTGTGTTAACAAGCCTTCGGATTGTGCATGATAAGCCTTTCTGATGGCCCAGGCTCCTTGCTCTTAAGTTATCAGGCTTAGTCTGTGATTATAGACAAAGGCAGAGGCTAAAGGAAACCAGGACACAGGGTGTCATTGTGAACTGTGGCGAGATGGGTAGACAGACAGGCAGATTCATGGTATGCTGAGGATGGACAGGAGTGTGGATGTGTGCATGGGGTCAGTGTGTTTTGCTGCCCTGCCCTGTCCTCTGCTGGCCAGAAGCAAGGGCATTGTGGGAGCAAGGGGTGTGTCTAGTGCTAACGGGACCGGAGCTGCTTGGAGGATGGTCGCCGACAGGACTGGGGTAGCTGACATGCAGAGTGGGCTTGATTCCCTGTAGGACCAGGAAGCGAGGAGGGTCCCAGAGGTCATGGGTCTGAGGACACAAGCTCTGTCCAGAGGAGTCTGCTGGGGGTGGGGCCAAATGGGTCCCACAGGACAGGTGTCACCCAGGCCGAGGCTAACGTCCTTGCTTCTGTGTGATGGAAATAGGCAGTTGTTTTAAAAAGGTCAGTGGAGGAAGTTCAGCTCTCGCACTAGCATTCCAGTGAGTAAACTGTGCCCTTTGGGTAACGGCACGGGAGGAGCTTTGGTGGCAGGCGCTCTGCAGCCCCACCGTCTGTCCATGTGACAAGGCAGTTGGGCATGCTGAGAGAGACGTGTCTGAAAAGCGTACAAAGAGTACCAGGTGAGCCTAAAGGAGGGCCCTGGGCAAGGCAGCACAGCACTCCACAGAGAGGCACATGGTGTGAAGGAAGGGGAAGGCGAGGGGACTGTCCCAGGTGGCAAGAGGTCAGGGACAGCAGCTGGGTCCATGTAGGTCATGGGGAAGAGACCAGCAGTTAGCGGGAAAACTCAGCACATTCCAGTAAGGACTGTCTAAGAAGCTGTGCTGCCATCTTGATGGAGGTGTACAGGTTAGCGGTACAAGAGGCTGAGCAGGACTGGATGGAATACTTTGGGCGGCATCTCTAAGTCTAAATTCATTTTTGACCCATGCTGCAACATGGATGGGATTCGAGGACATTGTGCTTAGTGAGAGGACAGACACTGTGGTTCCCTGGGCATGATTGGTGTCCTGTGGCCGCTCACCACCCACTGACCTCTGCGTAGACAGGACCTCAGGTCCAGATAAGGAGGCGGCCAAGGAGCTGAGGTATAGGCTGTCCCATGAGCCAGCTGTAGCCAGAAAAGCGGGTGTCCTGATTTGGACAGCAAGTACCGCCCAGGCATTCAGAGTCTCACGTGGTCTGCGCACACATAGGGTGGCTGCAGATTGCAGTGTCTGCAATGGCTTGGACTTTGCATGCATGTGTGGCATGCCAGCTTTAGTGCAGTGGTGGAAATACGAAAAGAAACCACCATGACCATCTCAGTCAGCAAACGTTGAGCCTCTAAATGTGCCGGGAACTACTGGGTACTGGAGCAACAACTAGGTGAGCCTGTGTGGACCGTGACACGCCATGGGCATGGCGATACGGAGCACTGAGCAGGGTGGCAGGAGGGAGTCATGCTGGCACAGGTGCTGAGAGAGGCCTGTCAGCCAGTAATGGCAGTGGCCTATGGGGGAGGAAGAGTAGAGAGGAACCCCCAGCCAGTGGGAGGGTGGTGTGGCTGGCTGGTGTGAGGAGGGTGAGCCCTTGGTGGTGGTTGAGTGAGGTCCAGGGACAGTGGGAAGGGTAGGAAGGCAGGACAGGAGGGCTTGGAGGACCTGACTTCCTTGAATGCTTGGGGTTTAGCTCTCTCAGGGATGGGGGAGCTCGAGTAGAGTAGTCAGGGGGCCCTGAGCCAGGGCGGGGTGCAGCCTTGGGTGTCCACTGGGCATCCTGGTGAGGATGGGGCCCCACATGGTTCTGCACTTGGGAGTCTTCCTGCACAGGCAGTGTACCAGGCTGTGCCTGGGTAGGGTCACAACAGGGAATGGCAAGCATGAGTCCCTGGTCCAGGCACTGAGCTTCAGGGTCTTGAGCAGAGACCAGCAACAGAACTGGCAGGAAAGGCCTGGGCGAGACACGGCCCCTGAGTCCCTGAGTCCCGCGCCGGTGGCAGCTCACATGTCACATGAGTCTTTCCCCACTTCCTCCTGGCCTTCCCTCCGTGTGTCAGATGGGGCTGTGTGCAGTGGCTGAGCTCCTCCCGGTGCTGTGTACTTGCACCCCGGGCTGCATTGGCCTCCGAGCGCTGACCCAAGTTCTTTGGGTGAACAGGAGGAGCTCGCCTTTGTCTTCGAGATGCTGCAGCAGTTCGAGGATGCCCTGGTGCAGTATGACGAGCTGGACGCCCTGTTCTCGCAGTACGTCGTCAACTTCGGGGCTGGGGGTGAGTAGCTGCCCCGGGGACATCTTCCCCTGAGGGTTGTTACGAGTGCACTCTGGATAGTGGGCTCTAAGACTCCTATGGGAAATGAATGGGAGTTAAGAATCTGTCACTTTAGCCTTTCGTAGAAGCTCAAGGAACAGAAGCCCTTAAAAAGCTGTTTTCACACCTGAGCAACAGACGGACTCAGTGAGAGGCTGCCTCACAATAAGAAAGGGGCTGGGGCTGCAGCTCGGTGCATCCACTCCCCCAGGACCACACACGCACACACCCACACACGCATGCATGCCCACCCACAGCCGTTGCAGGTATGCAGCGTCACTTGTGGCTCGGTGGTGGCAGAGCAGCCTGTGCCCCGTTAGGATGTCTGCTGCCCACAGAGCTTGTGAAGGGTTTCATGTGATCTATTGTAGGGGTTTTGTCAGTCTTGTGAATTTTTAAACAGTATCTTAAGTTTTTCTTTTTCTTTTAAACTGACAAAATTAGCAAGTGAAACTATATACAAAGAAAATGATTGCGTACTGCTTTTTGTAGATGTTTGATAGAAATGAGATCATGTTTTCTGGCTTCTTTGTTAGTCCAGCCTTCTTGGACTTTCTCCAAGGTGCCAGGCCAGCTCTGAGGTGTTCTGGTAGCGGACCTGAGTTTATCCAGTGTCCCCTGCAGTGAGACAGTGGGGTTGCTTTCCACTCCTGACCTCCACGCAGGGCTGCACACCGAGTCACCGTGTGTGGAGGAAGGAGTGGTTCCAGGAGCCTGTGGGATGACCATCTACAGGGCAGTGGCTTGCCCCATGCTGCCTGTGCTAAGGGAGCTTGGAGGGGACTAACCCACTTCAGGCCATGCTTTGGGACCCTCTAGTTGGACATGCCACTGTGCTGACACCAGCGGAAACATACAGCAAAGCCTTGTGTTCACCAGGCTTACAAGTCAGGTTGTATAAGGCAGAGCCATACCATAAGCGTGTGTCTTTTAAATATCACCCGTGTCTTAGTTTTCTTGTGATTTTTCTTCTTCAATTTAAAAATAAATCTGGGGCATCTTAAGATCCAAAAGTGAGCCTGGACCAAGGACTGCAGCTGAGGGTAAAATTGCTTCACCGTGTTCTTGCTGGGCCACCGACCCCACAGCTGCAGGCCTGGTGAGGTTCTGGAACAGTAGGAGCAGAGCAGACCCCTTCCTCTGGGGCATAGGTGAGGGGAGTAAACACACGGCCCTGCTGATGGAAACAGGGCAGGCATGAATTCAGACAGCAGCTCCATGGGGCGGCTCCCTCCTGAGACCCCAGCTGCTCTGGAGGCTGAGGCAGGAGAATCACAGGGCAGTGGGGATGGCTGTTTGTCATGGCACATTGGGCATGGTGATGGGCATGTCTAGAAGCTGACTGAGGGACCATCCCTTCGGAGCTTGCTCAGGCATGCCTGAGCATTCCTAGGTGGGGTGCTTGGTGCCGAGGGTCCATATGCGACAGTTGGTGTCTACAGCAGGAGCAAACTGGCCACAGCACCATTTTTAGAAGTGGGGAAAATAAGTTTCACAACTTCTTTCATAAAGGGTAAATAACTTTTGTAGATTCTTTGAGTCATTCAAAATTTTTGTGTTACAAGAGCACTTAGCTGCATCCCAGTCTTTTCCTTCCCTTTCTCCTTCCTTTTCCAGACAGGATTTGGGTAAATTGCCCACTGGTCTTGTCTCCATTGCAGTCCTTCTGCCTCAGCCTCCCGAGCGCTAGGATTAGGCATGTGCCATGTGCACTTGGCTGAGACTGTATTTGAGTCTGAGAGCTCTGACAATGAGGATTTCCCCTCCTCTTGCTGGCCTGTCCTCTGGCGCTCCACTCAGGTGGTATGGTTTAGTTAGGGACATGAGGAGGGACAGTCCAGAGAGAGGGATGCAGGAGGACATGTGTGCCTGCCCTGGTGGTTGAGGAGCAGGCAGCCTCCAGCCCCAGGGGCCAATACGGCAGCCACCACGTTCTGGCCCTGGGCCCCTTCAGCCTGATGGAGCCTGAGGTGTCCCCAGCCCACCGTCCCTGGGTGGCTGCCTGACTCAGCCTCCATCTCAGTGCCCTTGGGCGTGGTAAGACAGTGTCCACTGCTGGGCCTGAGGGGCTGTCCTACTGGAAGCGTGCACTTGTGAGACTCAGATGTGATCTTAGTGCAGTGGCTCCTGCCTAACCCCAATGGGCTAGGCCTGAGCAGAGACGCTGCCTGCTGTCCCACGGGGTCCCGGTCCCGAGCAGGACCTCTGTGGATGAGGTGCCTGTGCCATCGCCTTTCATGTGTGTGTTTGTTTAGATGGTGCCAATTGGCTGACTTTTTTCTGCCAGCCAGTGAAGAGCTGGAATGGCCTGGTGCTCCGCAAGCCCATAGACATGGAGAAGCGGGAGCTGGTCCAGAGGCGGGAGGCCACCCTGCTTGACCTGCGCAGCTACCTGTTCTCGCGCCAGTGCACCCTGCTCCTGTTCCTGCAGCGGCCATGGGAGGTGGCGCAGCGTGCCCTGGAGCTGCTGCACAGCTGCGTGCAGGAGCTGCGGCTCCTGGAGGTGAGTGGGTCCCTCTCCTGGCAGTGCCCGCCATATCTGGCGGACTGGGCAGGAGGAGGGCTGCCCCTTCTGAGTGTCCCTGGCCTCTAGTTTGTTTCCATGGCTACTTCCTTTTTGTTGACTGACTGTTCAGAAGCAGTGTCTGCTCTTGAGAGGCTGAGGCTCAGTGGCCTCGTGGGTCTTCAGGGGCAATGCTGGTTTACACGGGGAGGCCCTCCCTGTGGGAGCTTGGCCATAAAAGACACTGTGCCAGGCCAGTGTGCTGTAGGTGTGGTTCCAGGGCAGCTTCCCTGATAGCGCACCTGTGTGTGGACACCGGCAGCAGCGTGGATGATGGTGGCAAGCTACGCCCTGGCTATGGGGGCCACAGAGCTCAGTGTGGATGTGAGTGTAAAAGAAGCCAGCGCGGGAGAGTGCAGTGCTGAGCCACTGTCTCCGGAGTGAACTAGTTGTCTTCCCAGATTCATTCCCAGCCAGTCTCCATGCTGCATGCCAGGCCGTCAGCTGCTTGGAGAGCCTTGTCTAGAAATAAGGCCTACTGAACCCTTTTACTGTCTGTAGGCCATGAGTTAACATGTTAGTGGGGGAAGGGGTTCAGTGGCCCCTTTACCCAGAAAGTCTCACATGGGCACTTTGGGATGCACATTCCACTGCTGTCCGGTCAGATCTACAGGCGGGCCGGGTGACTCCCAAAGGGAAGCAGCCTGTGCCAACCCCATCCTCACCATACCACCAGGGCTCCTAAGGGACGCAGTTATTGTCAGGCCCCTTTGTAACAGGCCATCGAGTAGCTAATTCTTAGGGTAGTAATTATGACATAGTAGGTATTTTTGTGTACCAAGTACTAAGTAACTGGCTAGTAGTTTGAAATAGTCATTAACTTGTGCCTGCCAGCTTGAACCACTGGTAGTATACACACGATGACTGCCCCATTGAGTGGCTTGTACCCTGGTGGTACAGACAGATCTAATCAGTTTTATTGGTCTTTTTACTGGTAAAATTAATAAAGCTGCTGATGAAACAATCACGTGTACACCGTTGGTGGTTCAAGCCATTTGGCAGCAGGACATACAAGTTACAGTCCCATCATGAACATGTTAAAGAGATGGGAACTGTGTCTTTTTAATCTACGTGAAGTGAGATTATTTTAGGTCTCTAAAGGAGAAATATTTATTTCTGCGTCTAGCATAATTGAGACCCAAAGTTAGGGATTTATAAAATTTTTTATAAAATTAACTTTCTTGCTGTAGAAATCTACTCAAGCAGATGAGGAAGATGCCTTGTATTCCCTGGAAACAGGGCTCCCGTGGGCACGAAGAGAGGCATGATGCTGAACATCTGCTGTGGCTGCTGACCCGTGGGTGGAGCTGTGAGCCAGCCGGGGTCAGTCATACTCAGAGAGCAAATGTGCCTGGAGATCCCACCTGAGTTAGAGACTTCCATGTCTTTACTGGATTGCAAAAAAAGTTCAGTGTGTGTGTGAGAGTCGGGGTGGTTCAGACTACATTTGCTCCAGGCCGAGCCTAGGCCTTATGAACAGCACCGTGGCCCATCTGGGCAATTCTGTGCGCTGAGTGCCAGGTCTTGGGTTTGCAGGCTGTGTGTGGGTGGTAGAAGGGCGGTGCTGGTGCTCCCGCTGCCTCACTGCGGCAGCTGTCTCACTTCCCGTGTGCAGCCTGCTGGGCCCCACCCTGTGCCTGTGCTGTGCTGTGCCACAGCGGCCTCAGGCCGGTGACTGCTGTGCACCAAGGAAAGTTTCCTCTGGAGGGTTTGGACCACTGTGAGCACGTGCTGTCCACTGCTGTCCTGGGCCCATTTCCACTAGTGTCAGTGCCTTCTTGTCCCCTTTGTCACGCTGTCTTGACCTTTACTTGGGCAGAGACTGTGCCCTGCTTGGGTCGTGGTTAGTGCCCTGCTTGGCACTTTCTAGTGGAACACAGTTGCATGTTGAGGTCCAGGTGAGATCACACCATCCACAGTCCACGTCCTCAGGCTCTGTCCTTTTCACGGCCTGTGGCCTGGACTCTGTCCCCAATGCTACTCACAGATGGGTGCTGCCTGGGTCACTTGTGCCAAGGCCTCCACAGTCCCTTTGACCCGCTGTGTGATCAGCACTACGTGAGTGCTGTTTATAGAGGAGTTTCCTCTCTGCAGACTTCCCAGTCCTGTCTGACTGCTAGGCTCTTATGTGAGACCCTGGCTCAGGAGGGCAGGCGAGCTCTGCCCCAGATCCTTACATCCAGCCTGCTCTGTTGTTTCTGCCTCGGGACTGGGAGCCACTTACTTTGCTCATTCAGCTCTCTTTTTCTCCATTCTTGGGGAGGCCAGCACCAGCTGTCATTTGGGTGGTGAGGACCTGGTGAGGTGACACGTGAAGAGTCCATGGCCTGATGGCTCTGTGCTCTGACCATGACCCCTCCAGCACTGCTCCCTCAGGGTCTGTTGTTAGGCTGTGGCCTTTTAAGGTAGAGTGGGGCCGCGGGTGGGGCCTCCTGGCCTAAGCATTTGTATTGTTTGGAAGCCTTTGCCCTCACAGCACTGTATCCCCATCCTTGGGTCCCATGAGGAAGTGTGTGCCAGCGGTGGTGCCAGCCAGAGTGCATCCCTGTGGGTCTTTCAAGTGCTCTCCGTTTGCTTTTGGGCCGTCCCCAGATTTGCACACAGGCAGACCTGCTTTCCTGCGTCCTCGGCGTGAGAGGAGCACAGTGTGCGTATGTGCAGAGCGCTACCAGAGGGTGCGTGAGAATGAAATGAGGCAGGTGTTTTCCAGAGGCCACTGTGTCTCAGTGACCACCGCGTCACTGCGTCCTCCGTGTTTTGAACTGTCTTCTTTCATGGCTGAGGTTCTGGTGCAGAGCAGACAGTGTGGCCAAGGGAGCCTCTCCTAACTGTGCTGGAGGAGTCAGCCAGGAGTGCGTAGGAGGTGCCGGCGTGGGTAGCTGGACAGCTGGTAGCTGAGGCCAGTGGTCAGCTTGGGCTAAACTGAGAGCAGACTGGGGCATGTAGTCACAGCCAGCTCTGGTCTTGGACCAGAAGAGGCAGGCAGGAGCACAGGGACACCTTGCTGGGTTCCTCTGCGGGGAGGGAGGAGGGCCCATCCTGTGATCTGGAGTAGGGAACCTGGGCTGGCCGGCAGCAGGTAAGTACAGAGCTGAGACTGAAGAGCAGTCGATGAGACTTCATGATTCCCTGGGAAGAGAGAACAAGCTGGACGAAGAAGACTGTCAGGAATCATCCGGGAGACATTTGCTTGCCTGCCAGACCCTGTGGTGAACATGAGTGTCGGGGAGAGGGTACAGGAAGGAAGAGAAACCCCCACAACCCCTGCATGGATCATGGTCAGCCCTCCATGCAGGCTGCTAGAGCACAGTGTGCCAGGCAGTGACGGAGTGGATGCTGGTGAAGGAGGGAGAGCAGCTGTGTAGCAGGCCAGGCCAGGCCGGCCAGTGAAGGTTGACAGAGTATCTGTTGGGTGCTTGGGAATGTGTTAAAAGTCTGTGTGAGCTAGTTTTAGAAGGTTGATTTCTTTCAGCAGATAGTTGCTGAGTGTCTGCTTTTCAGCAGGGAGCAGAGAAGCATTCCTGCCTCCAGGGAGATTGTCTTTCACTGAAGAAGCAGAGGAGGAGAGCTGCCCACCTAGATCTGGTCAGAGGGGACAATGGGAGAGTACATTGTGGCAGGGCTGATGCTTCTCAGGGCAGTGGGGACAGGACAGGCTGTGAGGCACCTGGCAGGAAGAGGGTGAAGGTTACATTTTATCCTGCAGTTGGTGGGACATCTCGAGAAGCTGAGACTGAGGCTGAGACGACCTGTCACAAGAGGTGTTAAGAGTGCCTTGGGAGCTGTGAGTATTGGATGGCAGTGAAAAGAAGTTTGGAGGTGTGTGTGTGTGTGTGTGTGTGTGTGTGTCTGTGTCTGAGCAAGGCTGTTGGATATGTAAGAGCTGGACTCTCAATTTACTTGGCTTAAGCACTGCCTAGGGGATTAACAAAGCATACTTTTGTGTGTTATGGAGGTGCAACTTTAGGTACTGTATCTTGAGATGTCCCTGGCTTCTCTCTGGTACTGTTCACCCCGCTCTGTTTTCCAGCCACCATGAAGTGAACAGCACTTCTCTGTTCCTCTGCCGTGATATTCCCCCCTTGGGCTATGAACTAAATCTCCTGAAATCATGAGCCAAATACGCTATTTTCTCCTTTAAATTGTGGGTATCAGATATTTGATTCCAGCAATAGAAAAGCTGACTGAGCACAGAAAATTAGTACTGGAGAGGTAGAATCCTGGCTGCCGTGACGGTACCTGATCAAGTGGCTCGGAAGCCTTTGGAACTGGCTTGGAAAAGTTTGGAGATGCTAGTTAGAGAAGTCCTAGAATACCTCAAACAGAGCCTGGTGCTGATTCCGTTGGAGCTCAGAAGACCAGAGTGCTTATAGGAATGTGGACAGTAAAGATCTGGCTCATAAGGCTTTAGCTTGGAGGATTTTGTTGGGAATCGAGCTAGAGTACAGTGGTACCTTGGTTCACAAACATTTTTGTTTGCAAACAGTTTGGTTCACAAACAGAAGTGTCTTGCAAAATTTTGTTTTTGGGGGCTGGGGATTTAGCTCAGCAGCATAAGCACCTGTCTTGGAAGCAGGCAGTCGTGAGTTTGATCCCTGGTACCAATAAAAAGGAAAAAGACCAAAAAAAATTTTTTTTTTGTTTTTATTGCAAACTTCATTGTCTGACAGACACAGCTTTAGCCCTCTTTCCACATAAACACGGTCAAGGCCATCTTTTCCAGAATGGTAGAACAAATTAAGATTGTGAACCAAGGTATCACTGTATATGTTTTATACTCTCACAAATAATTTATTTTCTACATTTTGCCCATGTCCTGCCACTTTTTGGAAACTCAGTTTTAAGGTAGTGAACTAATTGATCTGGTGGAAGATATTTTAAAGCACACCAGTGTTCAGACTATGGTTTAGTTACTGCTGGCTACTTTCAGCTAGATTTAT